GAAAATGATATGACTCCTGCGAAAGAGAACCTCTGAAAGAGTATTAGGTTTAGTAAAATGGTTAGATACATTCAAAAATACCAAAGACAACATGCAGACGAATGAAGAAATACAAATTATTGTCTTTTACAAAATAATCAAAATGAAGATGATTTTCTTTTAAAGAAAATTTAACTACACTTAAGATAATCATTTTACCCCCAACAGTTAAATCAGCAGATACAGTATAGAGCCAGTACGCACTGAATATCCTGTATGAAAGATAGATTTGACCTGGATTTTATATAAGGCTGTAAAAGGGTGAATCAAAGATGGCTGTGGAATTTTCCAGAAGGCCCTTGCTCTCCCTGCTGCTCTCCCTCTGATTGTCAACCTCAACTGCAGCTGCAATTGGCTGCAGGGCCAACAGGGTGGAACATTATTGGTCGGCTGTGCTATGCCACACTGATCACAGTGTGCAGGCTCCCCTCGTCCTTTTAAAATGATTTTTTTTTTTTGCTGCAATGCAGACATTTCTCACTGCATAAGACGGTTTATTTTTCTCAGGTTTAGTGGGCCCTTCTTGGGTTTTGACAGTAAAAGCCAAGGGGATTTGAAAATGGCCTTCATGGAGATTATATTTGTGGTTGTGATGCATAACTCAATGGCCGTGCTGTTCGAACGCTGCCATCCTGTTTACAGGCTGCGTACACTGGGCTCAGAAATAGGCCCAGTGGATTTGTACTCAACCCCACGTTACGCACCGAGATCTCTAAATTTCAATTTAACATTTATACAGCACACTCATTTAGGCACTGTTGAGTCATGCCTCTTTAGTAGATCACTTTTGGTTTTCACAGAGGGAGTGAACTGGCTGAGATGAAACGCTGATTGTAACGTGACCATTTTCTGGCTGTCATGTAGATAAAGTCTACAAGCCACAAGAAAGAAGAAAAACCTTTGTCTTCTCTGTGCAGACGACACTATTATAGTGGTGATTAATGATGTGAAACAATGTTCAGCCCTTCCACATGGTTAGATTTTATATAACACATCAATTCTTTTATAAAACAAATACTACTTTTCACACAATGGTTTTATCCACCATTTTCAATTCTTTTTTTTATCTTCAAATGCTTTTTTTATATATAACAATGATCAAACTGCTTCTTTGAAATGTGCTTTTAATAAACTTCCCTTACTTTTGTGTGTTTTGCTATAAACAATCAGTTTCGTATCTCTCCGTATGAATATGACATTTCTGTGAAAGGTTAAATCCTGAAAAATGTCATGTAAAAAATAGAAAACGAGGCTAACAGGGCGAGAGGTTGTCGCTCAGTTCTGCCTCTGTTCCGTAACAGAAGCCTCTCTCCCGAGAAGACCTCTCTAACCACAAAATGGCCACTGTGTGAGGATCAGGGAGTGGAGAAGGCAGTTTCACAACACGGCCCTGGAGCTGATGAAACCCTGCGCTGTAAAATCCTGGGCCCGAGGCCTGTGGACAAAAGGGCTTGTTTCAAGTGGGTCATCCTCCGACCAGAATGGAGTGAGTGAGTTCTCTTCAGTTTCAGGAGGAAGCTGTTCGTGTTACATGTATGTGAAATCAAACATTAGACAGAATCCAGTTTTCAGTCATGCGTCCTCTGACAAGTTGTTGACCCCTGCGTCTATTTCCTGGTCTGGCAGAGGAACACAGCACAGAGCCAATGCATTTACAAAGGACATATCCCCCCCCACCCTCTTTCTCTCTCTCTCCTCTTCCTCTAATGCCCATCCCCCATTCTCCCTCTGCCAGGCTGCAACAGTAAAAAGGAGGTGTGGGTGCCATTTTTTAAGTGTAACTCTCTGAATCCTAAGAAATAAAATAAAAAAATGGGGTGAAAGGGATTTGCTATGGTCCACTCTGCCTCCTGTGTGGCAGCATGGCAGTCTGGGTTTGGGGTGGGGGGGTGGGGGCACCCATGTGACCCTGAGACAGAGAGAGAGAGCAAGGGTGAGAGTCGTTACCCAACACTCCCCCCCACCCCCCCTCACCCTCCTCTCCTCTCCTGCAGCCGTGGAGCACAGAGGCCTGGTGTGAGGCCTCCAGCTCCTCCTCCTCCTCCTCTTCCTCCTCTAAACTGATTTCAAGGTGTGAACACTCATCATGAGAAACCCAACAGTTACCACAACAACGAGAAGGAAGCCATGTTTGTTATCACAGAGCTGAGATATATATGTATGTATATATAAAAAAGGAGACAGAGCTTACCTCTGTGGATGCATGGCTGCCTGACACACTGTTATGTCAACACTTATAAAACATGGAGGACACTCTCAGCCCTCTCAGCCGAGGGGAAGGCTCCGCTCTGCAGGCAAGAGGCGATCCAGGCCCCGGCGATGAAAGCCGCCCTCTGACTGGTCGCCGTCCTCGCAGGCGGGATGCAAGGCCGCGCCTGATTGGCCGAAGTGTTTCCTTGAGTGATTATCTTTGTTCGGTGCAGGCAGGGGCAGAGACAAGAGGGGAAGCGAAAAATGAGCCGCAGAATAAACGTGGTTCACACGAGTCCCTCTGCACCGCATCGCCTTGAAAGCCTCCCAGCGAAGAGTCAGTCGGTGGTTTTCTTATTTGATGGCGTGCACAGCAGAGGTGTGAGCGTGTGGAGGCAGAGGAGCAGGACTCCAGGGCTGCTCTGCACAAGCCTCCATGTTTTTTTCTCATGCGGACGAGGCCTTTGTTTAAACTCCTCCCTCCCTCCTGGCTGTTTCCAGAGGAGAGAGAAAAAACTCAGCTCTCTACCATTATGTGTAAATCACCCTGCAAAAGAAATTAGACATCAGGCACACACATATTTGGCTTCAGCTCTCTTTCAATCACCTTATACTTCAAATAATTGTATTGTCAATATCTCCATTAGCACATACTTCTTTACAGTGACACATTTGTAGTAGTTCTGGTGGCCTGACCTTTTATTATTCTTATGTTTGACTGTTTTGTGTGCTTTCAATAAATCTATCTATCTATCCATTCATTCATCTATCTATCTATCCATTCATTCATCTATCTATCCATTCATTCATCTATCTATCCATTCATCCATCTATCCATTTACTGCACACTTCTCATAGACTGCTTTCAAAAACAAAGACAATATATAGCTTTTCTGTTCTGTTCTATTTGTTATGGCAAATTTATGAAGGTCTTTAGTTAAGAACATGAGTCGTTCCTCTGGCCCTTGAAATTGGTTTCAATTTTGTTTTGTATTATCTGTTATATATGTCACCATTTTGGATTTTGTTCTTCCTTTTTAATATCTTCACAATGTTGTTTTACAGGCATCAGTTTTTATGTTTAATGCTTTTGTTTTCTCAATGGTTCCCATTTGGGCTGGATGTGTGTAATAAGTCAAAATCCAAATGAATCAAATCAAATCAAAAATCTAATTCTATTCTATAGTAAAGGAAAGGAAGATAGTTTTGAGGGAACCTTTCCTTTTATGTCATACACAGTGTTGTTACTGTAATGTCCTTCATATATAATAACACAGTGATAGAGATAGATAAAATAAAAATAAAATACCAAAGCATGGTTTGTTGGAAGTGTGTGTGTGTGTGTTGGGTTTCCTCTTTGACGCCAGTGCTGTAACAGTGCCAGTGCATCAATTATTAAACACAGCTGGATTAAGTGCATTTTTCTTTCTCGTGTGTTCAACTTCCAGCAGCACATTGAGCAGTCTAGATTCGGGCCTGTTACTACCTATGTTTATCTTCATCTGAGTTTATATGTGTTTATAATTAATAATTTTAAGGTTTACTCCAGCACTGTTTTCACATTTTTTAAATACACTACCATCATTTTTAACAGGCCAACGCCCAACTTTGTATAGCTTTAAATCTGTATCTATATTTGGCTTCGACACTCTGCCTCGGTTATTTGTGTCTTTCAATCACTTTATATTTAAAATATTTGTCTCATCGTTATACAGTGACGGCTGTGTAGTAGTTGTGGTGGCTTGACTTTCATCTCACTGACTCAGTTTGATCTTTTTATTTTTCTGACGTGTTTGACTGTTTTATCTGCTGCTCACATTTCTCTGGGGAACAATAAAGTATTAATATCACAGTATATCAATCTATCTCTATATAAATGTATCTTCAATGGGACAACTGCAGAAGTGTCAGAGCTTTACGGAGCAAAAACGTGTGCCGCCCAACGTGGGGCTCGAACCCACGACCCTGAGATTAAGAGTCTCATGCTCTACCGACTGAGCTAGCCGGGCGATGACAATGTTGATGTCACGGTAGTTTATAGACAATGTGTGAACAGGATGTGAGGTTAAGTTCTTAATGCCCATCTGTCTCATACTGCCCCCTAGCGCCAACAACGTATAATAGCAAATACTTCAGTTGAACTGTGTTATTTGTTATCACTGTATATTTTATTTGTATAAAATGATCAGATGGAATATCAAAAGTTACATGTATAAAAGTTATTTAGTAAAAAAAAAAGCCAGAGACGCTGTTAGGTGTTTGGTGACATTTTATATTCTGCATCTTTAAAAATAACAGTTGTTATTGCTGTATTTTTTTGTATTACATTGTCATGTCTATTCTATTCCTGTCTAATTGTGTTTGAGATGCAAATTATTTTGGCACAGGCCAGTAAATGTGGGTGCAATCCAAAATTAGGCTTAAATTTTGATGCAACCAATGAAACGTAAAGCCACCAAAGACTTGTGATGGACATCAACAGCTCTGATGTGAAAATATGTGCAGATATAGTTTTTATCTGACATGTGTCAAATGTCTACTTTGTCAACATCAATGCAAATAATGCACAAGGTTATTCCATTAGAGCACTAGTTGGTTTCTGAATACCCAGTTAACAACTGTTTGATGTCAATAACTGTTTGATCTAAATAACTGTTTGATCCTAATAACTGTTTGATGTTAATAACTGTTTGTAAATTATATTATGATTCCTTCATTAAGTGAATAAAAAAACACAAGTACAGACATATCAAAATATACAACATAAAAACCTAAAAACAAATAAAACCAGTGAACGTGGGACAGAAACTGAAGCACCTATGATTTGAAGGGATGCTTTGCTCAAATAGTAAACATCCCAGAACAATGGTTCATAACTCAGGCACATGTCAGAGGAGAGTTTGGAGAACATCATCCAGTGTGTGGTTCCTCCTCTGTGGGCACGATGAACCTGAACTCCGGGTTCTTCCGTGCAGCACGTGAAGGCACCACGGTGCCGGGTTCTCCTGCTACGTCAGCGGTTCTGGGCGGTTCATGAATGGGGGGTCTGGAGTGGGAGGACCCCGTCATCTGACTTCACCACCGGGGCAGCAGCGACGGGAGGAGCGGGTGTAGCGCGGCGGTGCGCGGTCAGTGCCTCTTCATGCCTGGTTTTAAGCCCATGAGCAGCGGTTCAGTGCAGCGGAGCGACCGGAGCAGAGCGGACATCCAGCGGTTGAGACGTGCGGCGGGGGTGAGCTAGCTCCAGCCCCGGCGGAGGCACACTCAGTGACGGGCGGACGCGCGGACAGCCCCCCTATCCACCTCCCCAGGACCCTGAAGGTAGAGCCGCGTCGGTGAGCCATGGGTTTCCGCAAGAAGAACAAGAGCCCGCCGGTGCTGAGCCACGAGTTTGTGATCCAGAACCACGCCGACATGGTTTCGTGCCTGGCCATGATCATCCTCCTCGGCCTGATGTTCGAGGTACTGTGGAGTTAGCCCGCCGATGCTAGCTAGCTGCCGCTGTCAGATGAGCTAACGGCAGCTAGCGCTCCAGGGGCAGGGCGCTAGCATGTCTCTCCCCTTCTCATGTGTCTCAGTGATCGGCAGAGGAGGTGGTGAGGAGGCCCAGTGGCACCGCTAACAGGTCAATTCACCAACCTGCGGCTGATCCACTGCCTCCATAGTTGAACCATTACGTTAGCTGTAATAACAACATGACCCGGCTCTGTCTGTCTGCAGCTGTCTGTAGTGACTAAGCCACGTTTAAAGATCGTGCATCTACTCACCTGTCCCCACCCAAACCATCCTCCAGCCTGAGATGAGAAAATCTCCACCAGGCTTCATCTCTGAGGATGGAGAGAGGGTTTGAGCTTCCAACAGAAAAACCAGTGTCTGTGCTCAGGATGCAGATGATCCACTCTCCCCCTGAAACAATGGCAGTCATTGTGGCAGAGGTAGTGAACTTAAAGATTAATAAAGAAATAAAATGGTGTCAGCCCATTTCAGATCTTAAAAGAAGGAGTCAAATCTTGAATTTGACAGGAAGCCAGTGAATAGAGGCCAGAGCAAGAAACTGAAGATGTCATTATTTGTTCCTGCTGCTTCTTCTAAACGTGTCTTGTTTCTTCTTTTGTCTTCCAGGTCACAGCAAAGTTTGCCATCATGTTCATCACAGTCCAGTATAACGTAACACAAGTTCTCGGTGAGTCAGAGTTAATAGGTTTCAGTATTTAGATTTCAAAATAAAAGCCCTGTGGGGATTGCTTTGTTCTGCCTCTTCGATCTTTTAAATTTTTTGCAGATGAGAAGAGTGAGCCAGTGAACTTCTACCAGTACGGTCCTAAAGATGTGGCCACCGTGTTCTTCTATCTGCTCATTGCGGTCATCCTTCATGCCTTGATACAGGAGTATATTCTCGACGTGAGTACCCAAGCTCAGTAACACTAAATATAAATATTTTATTTCTTTATGTTAAAGGGTTTATTCAAATAAAAAGTCACCCACTTTTTGCAGAATTCAAGTTCAAAGCAGTGGCAGTTCTTTTTTATACTTGACCTCATTTTTCTCAGAAATCAAGTGAAAATGAATCTAAAAATATCTGTTTTGAAATGAGTAACTAATAAATGTGACACCTGGCACAGGAACTTGATGCCCCCCTCCGTGTGACATTTATCTGTTTATGCGTATTGGTTTTGTTTAATTTCAGAAAATGAACAGAAGGTTGCACCTGTCAAAGACCAAGCACAGCAAGTTCAATGAGTCCGGACAGCTCGCAGCGTTCTACCTGTTCTCCTTCATCTGGGGCTGCAGCATCCTGACGGCGGTACGAGGGTCGGCAGTCACACAAACACAGCGTCTCGGCCTCCGTTAGGCTTTATCTCACACTCTCGCTTCTTCTCTGACAGGAGGACTTTGCAACGAATCCTACTTTCTTATGGGAGGATTACCCACACACCCACATGGTGTAAGTCAATGAATATATACTCATTAAAACATCATATTTTATAACTGTGATTCATGCCTGATTTTTCAAAATGTGTTGTTTTGTTTATTTAATATTATTATATTATTCTCTTCTATCAAAGTTTAATGTTAGTGATGAGTAATATTGTCAAGCTTCACAGATCACTGGTGTTCCATTTAAATTAATGGATCTCCAGATAAAGAAGAATTTCTCTTGTCTAACAAGCGTTTTAATTCAGTGCAATATTTTTGAATTATTAGATTTATCAATGAGTGTATGTAGTAAACAGCTAACTGTCAAAGAAAGTATAATGTAATAATATATTAATATTTATTATCAGTTGTCATGTTGAATAGAAGCGAATTTTAAATAAGTACACTAATTTTAAAAAAAGCTATTCTGATGTCAAATAAAAAATAAAATACATAACAGAAAGTTTTTCTTTGAAATATGTTTAACTTAAAATAAAGTGCTTAATTCAATTATTAGAAATTGAAGTTTAAATTAAATTTTCTTTTTCTCCTTTCTTCTAATTTTCAGTCTCAACCCCAATTTTTTTGATCTTATCAGAATTCATGGTTGATTTGTTGTGCATGTAGACTATATTGATGCAGAACAGTGCACATGATGCTCTATTGTATATTAATATAACTTGTGTCCATGTTGAATTAACACCCGGCTCTTCTCTCTGTGCCACCTGTCATCCGTCCAGTTTTCAGGTCAAGTTCTTCTACATTTGCCAAATTGCCTATTGGCTCCATGCACTTCCTGAGCTGTACTTTCAAAAAGTCAGAAAGGTGAGAATCCATTTAAAATATTGTACCATAAATAATAAGTTTCAGAGTCACTCATCATTGGTGCCATTGGTTTGCAGAGCAGCAACTTCTTCATGCAAATGAATGGTATTGCAGATATGAGATGGAACAACAGCTCTAGTGAAAGAAAAAGTCGTGGTATTTTGTCTTGATTGGACATGTCCTGTTTGATTGATGTCTGTTTATTAGTTATTAATTGGGATGACCTTGTATTTATTTTCTTTGAATATAAAGTGGAGAATATAGTAAAGTTCTTGTGTCTTAATGTAGAAGTGCGGAGATAAGATTTGGCTTCACTCGACTTCTTTTCAGTCTTCACACATGAAGTTAAAATGTAGTCAAGTGTGTTAAATACGTATGTATTTGTATTTGTGTGTGAAATAATATTGACTCTTATAAAAAGAAAAAGTTTACTGCTCTTAAAGCATGTTTCACTTTATATGACGAAGAATTAATGAAACCTTTACTTTTTATACATCATGTCAAAAAGGTTTAATGCAGTAAACCAACATAAAAATACGTTGTTCATCCAAACTGTTGTTGCCATTAAGCAGCGTCTCCTGTTACTAACACACACTCTTTTCCTTGTCCTTTCCATAGGAAGACATTCCCCGCCAGCTCTATTACATTTGCCTTTATGTTGTCCACATCACTGGTGCCTATGTCTTAAAGTGAGTAAAATAATGTTTCAAACCAGCGTTGGAGAAAATAATTCTGTCTAAAGCAGTGTTTGTTTGTATGCCTCCGCACCAGCTGACACCTTTGGCTGGAGGCGTTATGTTTACAGGTTGTTCATAAGTACGTTTATACATCCGCCCATTCGCATCAACACGATTTCTCCTACGCCTCGAGGGGATTTCTTTAAATTTGGCACAAATGTTCACTGTGATGAACTGATAAGACTTTTGAGGTCAAAGGTCAAGGTCACTGTGACCTCACATTAGTCCCATTCGTTTGAATTTGATGTATCAAGAATATTTGGAGGCGATTTACTAACGTCTTTCACAAATATCCAGAGAGACTCCAGGAGGACCTGGTTTTAAATTTGGTGGTCGACAGTCAAGGTCACCGTGACCTCACAAAACATTTTTCACTAGATCCAAAGAATTAAGACACACCCCCACACAAAGTCTAACAGAAAACAATGAAGCAGTGATATTTTGATCTGAAAGGTCAACGTCACAGTGGCATCATGATGCAGATGCTTCACTCAAGAACAGAGGGGGAGATTGTGGATGTATTTCCTGCAACGTGCCTGGCTCACAGAGACGTGCAGATCTCTGCAGCGGGGTATTTCTAGTTTATGTTTCAGTGAAATGTATGAAAGCAGATTCAGTTCACCCTTCTCTGATTTGAAACCTCCTTTTTGGGATGACCCGACGGTTAAGGTGTTATCACAAAGGCGCTCATGTTCTGAGCAGCAGGTCCCTGGTTGAACTCTCCCCCAGTTGTATCATTTACTTTTACTACTCACCCCTGGTTCCTGTCTCTCCTTCACTGTCTCTGTCGAATGATGGTAGAAAAAATAATCCTCCTACTACTACATCTTACTTAGACTTAATGGAATCACTGATTTCTTTTTCCTACTGTGATGGACTGAGAAGTGGCTCAATTACAATCTTATTTGACTTTCTCTTATGGTCCTGAAGATCATTTAAAACTCTTTAAAGCTTTCAATTCCACATAATTTCCCCCATCACAGGGAACTGATGCTGAAATAAATGGATCATTTAGTGTATTGACCTGTGAGGCCTTCCTCTTCTTCTTTTTATAACGGTCTCTTCCCTTTAGACGTCCCCTCCTCTCAGTTGTTTTACTGAGATGAAATTGATGTATACTTTGGTCCACAGGGCTTTTTTTTTATTCATAGCGATTCTCATCTCCCTATTTGTGTGCTGTCTCTTCAGCCTCCACCGACTGGGCCTGGTGCTGCTGGTCCCTCACTACCTGGTGGAGCTCCTGTTCCACGCTTCACGCCTCTTCTACTTCAGTGATGAGAACAAGCAGAAAGGGTATTTCATTCAGTATTTACTGGGTAGAAACACAGTTCTGATCTGAACAACCTGATGAAACCTTTATTTCTCCCCCTCCCTTCACAGTTTTACCCTGTGGGCACTCCTGTTTGTCATCGCCCGCCTCCTCACCCTCACACTCTCAGTCCTGACGTTTGGCTTCGGGCTGCCCCGTACAGAAAACCAGGGCTTTTCTCTAGCAGAAGGAAATTTCAACGTGCTCACTATAAGGTAAGTCCAGGTGGCAACTGACCGAAGAGGCAGTAATCCCCCTCCAAACTAATAATAACCTCCGCCAAGGAGGATATGTTTTAATTTGCATCTGTCTGGTAGTTAGCAGCATTTCACAAAAACTACCAGAAAGATTACCACAAAACTTGGTGGAAGGATGCAGTCTGGTTCAGGGAACAACCCATCAGATGTTTGGTGCAGATCCAGGAATTTATTTTCACAATCTTTAACATAATGAGATGGTGGTTTAAATTTTTTTTGTAAATTTCTCAAGAAATAACAAAGAGCTTCATGAAACAAAATCCTCTGTAGGGCTAATGTGTATGAACGACTTTGTGAATCAGAAGTATTACTGGGGGGGGGGGGGTGATCTTTATCCAGGTACTGTACAGTAACAAATATTCCTTTTAACTAAATCAGAGAATGAGTATTTTGCCTGTGTTTAATGTAAACAGAAAACTCTGCGCACATGGTATATGTATCTGATGCAATACTTGTATATACAATATGTTGATAAGTGGTACGCGATCTCCAAGTTTCTTTCTAATTTCACACGGCATTATTCTGCAGATTTGTTTCCCTCAAACATGTGTCCTCCTCACCCCCTCACCCCCTCAGGATGACTTGTCTGGCAGCTATCTGCCTGACACAGGCCTGGATGATGTGGAAATTCATTAACTTCCAGTTGAAAAAGTGGAGGGAGCACAGCCAGAACCAGGCGTCGAAGAAGAAGACGGTCAGTCCGAAGAGCAAGCCTCACAAAAGGGAACCAACAAGGGGTGAGAACTCACTATCTCTGTCACGCAAACAGACACAATGTGATTCTACATTTCAGTTTGTATATTGAACACATATTGATTTGTTTGCTGTGCCGTATATTCCCTTAATCGGGGGTGTTTCTATTCACTTGTCTTGGCAGGAGGCGCAGCTAATGGGGTTGTGAAGTCCGAGGATAAAACATCACCACGGGCAAGAAAAGCCAAAGCTTCATAGAGAAAGAGGAGGAATTCAAGTTAAAACTGAGTGAGGGAGTTCTGACAGTGTGACATTATTATATGTCTTTACACAACTTCAAATTTTGTCTACTGCTCTCCAAAACAAATGTTTCAGCGCACTAAGAAACCTTACCTGTCCCTTTGGGGTTGAAACTCCCCCTTTTGGAAAAAAAAAAAGTTCAGTGTTACTGTGTCTGCTAGAAAGGTTTCTGATTCATTTGGGGTCTCTGCAGATGGAACGGTGGTGCGGCAGAGTTGGTTTTGATGCTTTAACAGGAAAGATTTAGCTCTTCAAAGTGTCCTTTGTGTAAAACTACGATCACTCATCGGGTATTTCAAAACGGAGTTGCTCTTCGGTAATTTGACATTGCATCAGTTAATATCACGGTACCTTAAGAAGATAATTTTTGACTTCAGGGCAACTCAGCAAAGTGTTGATGTACAGGTCGAGGTGTCATTTTCAGTTTGGACTTTATTCAGCTCAACTCACAAAACAGGCCACTGGTTCATGTCCCCAAAATAAAGCTGTTTCTCGCTCTGCAGGACGGCACCGAGATATTCTGCTGCTTTCAGGAAATGATCCTAAATCAGTCGCTCCAGAGGAAGATTTGTGCTATTTAGGTATTTGATATAGCTGCAGCCAGAAAAGTGAAGCTTGTACTTAACTCCTTGATCATTTACTGCCATTATTTGACAGCATCTGCCTTTGAAATCCGACATGCTACCGGATTGAGGCACTTTGGTGTTTTCATTGCTTTTTTATCTCTGGCCTGGTAACCAGCCTCTTCCAGGGGTTCATCCAGGTCAGGGGACTCACTGAGAGGAAGCTGTACTGTAACCTGTGACGCTGTACTGTCTACTCAAACCTTCATATCAGCATGACTGGAAACTTGAGCAAGAAGCTGTATTGAGGCTGCACTTCAGTCTTTTATATGGTAATGTTCATGCATGATGGTTTTAAGGCTAAAAGATGTTATGGCTAGTTCCTACCTGTGCTGTTGTGTTTGCATCTCTCTCCCACACTCACATTCAGACACACATATATATCTATATATATATATAAACACACAAGCATTCAGTGGCCTTTTTACAACTGCTGCAAGAGGTTTGAGTTATTTATTTTTGTCATATACAAAAGATAGTTATTATTTTCTATGCTTTGAGAAGCTATAACCAGCAAACACAGCGGTACATAGCAACTGCGTTCAGTTAATCCAAACAATACAATCTTTCTTCAAGTGTCCTTATAACGTCGGTGGTTTGTATCACTCGTTCTGCTTGTGTTGCATTCTGTTTGCCTTCTGTTTTTTATTCTTGGGTATCAGGGGACAAGCTAACCACCACTTAAACTATAAGTTACATCCCATATTGCAATGGGAGGTGTGTTTGTGAGGGACTGTGCTTGAATATGTGTGTGTGTGTGTGTGTACTGTGTACTGTGTACAGTATTGTTTCGCCCACTGTGTGTGTGTGGTGTGTGTGTGTGTTGGTGAATTAACTGGGCCTGAATGATGATGACAACGATGTTTATTGCTTGTCTCGTAAAAAAGCTAAATTATTGCCTGTGTGCAGAGCATGAAATGTGACAATCTTTTCATTGACTCCTGCCTTGTTGGTTGTATTTCACAGTCACATCCTGTCCTTTAGTTCACTTTCGTTGGGCCCCGTCCCGACAAGCTTCTATATGTAAAACACTGAGTTGTGGATAGATGTATGTTCTATAGAATATCAGTTACTAAATGCTTCTGTGTTCTGTCTCTGCCCCTCAGATGCCCTTTCCTGTGTGAGAGAGATTTAGTGATTTCTGTTTCTGCCAAATGAGGCATGTTTTGTCCCTCCTGCTTCGCCTTTTCAATGATCCTGACATTTGCTATGACGGAGCACACTCATTGTACTGTCGGCCACACTCTTTCCTGTCATTGACCAAGTCCTGCACCACTAACAAACCACTGTGCATGTGAAGCTCTGTATGGAGACGATTGTACTGCCTGTCTGCAGTCAGCTGGAGTTTGAGTCTAGAGCAGGGAGGAGATGCATACGCCGTTCATATTTGCTCCCTTTAGTGCTCCTCAGTGGGACTGGGGTCTTTTAAAGCCCTCTGTCTGTGTGCGGCAGTGTCATAGGAGGAAAGGGGGAGCAGAGGACTTATGTACCAGCCTGTTAATAAACTGTCTCAGATGTAAAAGAGAAAAAAAATGACTTAACCCAACACTGTACTAAAATATGTGTCAGATTTTTAAGCTATTTTTATAGAGGGGGAACAGTTGAAAATCACTGTTGTTCAGTACACACGTCTGAATATATTTGTTTTGCATCCATATTGATATGAATAGTTTTTTTTTATATATAAGGATGAAGCTTGCTGAACTGTTTATGTGGGTATACATTGTGGTATGAGTGTAAAAATCATTTGACTCATGGCCTTATTAGAGCGAAGTGAACTTGGTTGTATAACAGTGCTCAGTTAACACAGTGTTGCAGGTGTACGCTGCAGCCGTCACCACTCCATGTTTCCTCATAGTGAGACGCACCCTCATAATGACACTCCACACGTTGGTTTAAAAACGCGATCAGAGGCGAGTTGGTCAGTTCACAGTAGACATGGTTAACAAACAACAGAGTGAAACCGTCTGCAGGCTTCTCTCGCTCATCAGATGTACAACAATCAGCAGATGTTCGCGCTCTGAAACATGAGCCATGCTGCAGCTCACACCCTCCTCGCTTCAAGACACAGTAAACCTGTATAATCCCACTGGAATGCACTTTTTTTTGTGCATTATATGCATTTTGTCAGAGCACCATAACACTGCTCACTTTGGGCTGTTTCTGCATCGATTCTCAGCGATTTGGAAATTGAAAGTTGCTCAATTAAAACTCTGAATAATGCAATTGTTGGGAAACTTATATTAAAAAGACACACTGCAATGAATTAACTTCACGAGCAACCTCTGGGTGGCAACAATCATGAATGCACTCGAATGCATGATCACTTAAACAAAAGACAGAGACACGTTTATTGTATTGGATTCATTCATTCTGCATTGTCCTTGTTTTGTTTTCATTCTGCTGCTTGTCTGTAGATGTTGCGATATATTTCCTTTTTCGAATCTGTTGTCTCTGAACTGCTCTGATGGTATTATATTTATGCAAATTCTTGTGAGCTCTGATCATTTTCTGTCACTATTTTTTTATTTCATGTTTGAATAAAGCTTTTGATCATTACACAAACTTGTTGAACGTGTTTTTTTTGTTGTTTTTTTTTACTTTTTTTACTGCCCACAAGTAGTAGATCTGTCACATTGCAAAAAAGATTGCATTTTCGAAGTGTGTAGTAAATCATCAGAGCTGTAGTCATTCATAAAGCAAGGATACGTCTTGAGGATTCCTCCCTTCTCACCTCCTGCTCATTACAAATTTCCTCTGGATTTCACTTGAGGATATATTCCGAGACCTCAATTTTAGAAATTTTTTCATTTATACTTCCCACCGGGAATGGTGTCAGGAGACATGATGAAATATTGGCCAAACTGTACTCCGTGGCTAATTACCACCAGGGGGCAACACTGAGCTTTTTTTGCCTGAGGGACAGAGGCAGTCTGCAGGGGCATAGCAGCATGCAGACCTGCATTAATAAATCACCAGTCAGACTGAGAAAGACGGAAACGTTGTCTTATTGCACAGCATGCAGCTCGGCATTCTGAAAACTGTCCTCACCGTGCAAACAAAACCAACTGCCCGGTAATAATATGTCTTCATATACATTAAATAGAGAATCTTACATTAGAGACGTGTGCAGTTTTGACTACACTGTAAACATGACATCTGCGTCCATGGATGTGAGGAACGAGCACGGTGCAGACGAGAGACACCTGCAGCTCACTGCTAATGTGTTGTGTTGTTTCAGACTAATGGCTTTTCTCTGGGCAATCGGACAGCATGATGGATCAGTGGGAACCAGAGAGGCAGGCCGGAGCTCTGCAGGGTCAGCACAAGGACAGGGGGTTCACACACACCTCTCTCCATCACACACACAAATGCGCATTGATGGCTGTACCCCCAGCCACCCCACCCAACCCAGACATACATGACCTGAACCGTGCTTCAAAAGCAAACCTGCAGAAAGAGGCTAAGAAAAGCAAGGGGCCAGCTGAGGCGAGGGGGGCTGGGAATGAGGATACTGCTCCTCCCCTTCATCCAATGAGGATAAATCTCCCAGTGAATCGTCAGTATTATGTGTAATTTCCATATAAATTAGCTTCATTAAAAGGGGAGTACTTTCTTATTTAACGAAGCTCATTTGAAATTCTGTATTTAATAAGACATGTAATCCCAGACTTTCAGACTAATAGCCAACAATTAGCAGGACTGGAGCGTGTGTGTGTGTGTGTGTGTCAGTGTAATCTCTTGGAAGTATTGTCGTCCGTCAATGTTATTTCCATTGATTGTCCCAAATGAGCAAATTGGGCAGCAGCTGCTCTCTCTGCCAGGTTTACTTGCAGCGATCCATGAAGCTCAATGGAGATCTGAGGCGTTCATGCCCTCACGGCTATTTGTGAGCAAAAGAGGGTAGAGTGTGAGGTGAGCGACGGAGCAGGTGTAGGCCTGGTGGAGGATGAAGGAGTGTGGAAACATCTGGAGGGATAAAAGGTCTGAGACAGGACAGAAGACAAAATGTTGAAGTGAGAGGAAGAGAAACAGACCGACAGAGAGTAATGTCAAGTAGAGTGCTATGATTTACAGTAGAGCTACAGAGAATAATGGAGGGGGAAGTGTGTGTGTGTGTGTGTGTGTGTGTGTGTGTCTTTCTTCTGCTCTGAGGACACAGTTTTGTTCATAGTACGGGCAATAAAATAATAATAATACAATTTCTGTTGCACTGATCCAAACAATGTTACTAAGTGCTCTACAGAATGCATGAAACAACACAGAAATTAATAATAAAAACTATTACATGAAAGAAAAAAAGAATACATTGCTGTGGGTCGTCTACTAACCAGAGGGTCGGAGATTAGACCCCAGTCTCTCCCATTGATTTTGCCGAAGTGTGCTTGGGCAAAATACTGAACCCAAAATATCCCTGGACGGTCGTGTGTGAGTGATGTGTGACAGAGCATTTCAACATTTACTATAAAAACATCAAGATGAGAAAGATGCTATATAAATACAGACCATCAACCATTAAAGGCATTGAAAAATCAGGCATTAAAGGTTTTCCTATTGAATTATTTGTTAAGCAATGATTTAAAAACAGGTAAAGTGCTAACAAGTCTCATCTCAGGGAAGGAAGTCCAGAGCCTCAGGGCCCAGACTTGACTCAGGAGCTACTAGCAAGCAGATCTTAGTTAATGTCTTGAAGTATAGGGAGTTCACAGCTCTGTAATATAACTAGGAGCCAAACTGTGTTATCAAAAGAATCTTAAATCAATCCTAAATTTCATTTTTCACAATGTTAAATGCCTTTGGGGGTTAAAACTTGGTTTTAGGGTCAGAATTAGGTTTAATTTAGGAGTTTTGGTTTTGCATTAGGATGAGAGGTTAGGGAATGGATCCTGTCAATGTCGTCACAGCTATACAAAGACAGACGTGTGTGTGTGTGTGTCTGTGTTGTAAGGAGACGAGTTGTGCCCTATCAGTGTCCATCAGAGCCAGCAAATGCAAATTAGAGCAGACTCTGAAATGGTACAGATAAAAAGAGGAAAGGTGAAATAGAGAGACCATAGAGAAGATTGAGATAAATGAGAGACTAAATGACTGGATGGAAGAAAAGGAAGGAAAAGAGATCTTAGTTGGTTTATATCATTCCAGTGTCGTCCCTCATTAAATGGCTTTTAGCGTGCGCATGTTTTCGTGTGACTGTTGAATCGAGGCCAGTACATTTTAGAAAAAAGTCTTATTCAGGCATAGCTTGATAAAAAGCACAATACTGAAAAAAATAGAGAAATCCAGAAAGAGTAAAAAAAAAAGAGTTCATTGCGGCAAAAACAATTAAAATGGCAAAACATTTAAATGGAAATGATTCTCTGAGTCTTAAGACTTGAGTAAGCACAGGGACACATGAAGTTAGATTAGACTGTGAGCAGAGTAAAGAAGAGAGAGATGTGAGCTTGGACACGAAGAGTCGAGGCCCTGTCACAATTAAAAGCAGGAAACATTTGCAGAGAAATTAGTTCATTTCATTTCAGTTCAATTCCCTCACTGGGGTCAGGGTAATTTGTGCATAACTTTCACACTAAATTGAAATTTGTTGAACACAAATATGCTCTGTTGACCGAGCAGTCTCGACAGTGCTGAATCTCATGGGAGCAAAACAAAAAATTCAAAAACTGATGAAGCTATCAAAGCTTATTAACTGTGCTGCACACTGTCCACTTTTATTTTATTTAATGAGCAAATGTTTGCAGATAAATAATAGAAATATACATTTTGAATAAATGGTGTGAGACTGTTTATAAAGATGGACGACATGACTGTACCCTAAAAGTGAAGCCAAACAATCTCAATCATCCCCTGGTGGCCGGCTGAAGAATACGTCAAATGAATTCAGTGGACGGTTTCTGTCATTTTTAGGTTTTAACGTCACACTGATGTTTGATGAAATGTTCGTTTGATGCTATAAAAACAAGGTGAAAAGCCCCGATCGACAGCTGAGCCTGATTGGTCGAGAGCATGTATCGGTTGGACCTCATCTGGGATTTTTGGCTTCATTCCTGAAAATGTGACAAAGATATTTCACCTCACTCTTGTTCACGGTGACCTCCACTGTCTGCATGTGATTTAGAAAAATCTATGATTAACTACAGTTCGCATGTTCCCGGACCGCTACAGTGTGAACTCCTCCTTGCCAGGAGTCTCCACACCAGAAACATTTGAGGAAGACGTGTAGATACATTTTTGCATGAATAAATGCAGACACACTTTCTCTTGTGTGTCAGTAACGTCAGGTCATCTCTCGACTTGGTCTGGTTTTTGTCATTTACCTCGAGGCAGAACTATGGAATAGATGTGAGCTGACAAAGAGGCTTGTCCTCATTAAAAAAAAACTGTTTTAAAGCCTCTCCTCAAGTTCTCAAAAGCTCAGACTACCAAGACGGCCGGGGGGAAATTATGAGGGCACATGTTGAGCTGAGTATGCGCAAAATCAGGATTTTGTGCTTAGGACTCTAAATCTGTCC